GAAGTGCACAGCTAAATAACCTTTTCTTTTCCTTGAATTCAAAGGTTCGCTTGATTATTCCTAAGGTTTTGTTAGCCCTTTTTTTTTACCACAGGTAATACCTGGTATCGGGAAAAGATAGGCACAAAAAATCTCAATGTGTACTCACTAGTGACTCGTAGGACGTGGAGGTATGATCAAGGTTCACAGGTTAGTGAGACAGACATGGTAGAAGGGATATACACAGCGTCCCAAAACTGTCGGAGCAGTTAAGAATTCACAACAATAGGTTCCAGCTGAAGAAATTTAGTTTTTGAATGGATATAAGAGAATATTGGTTTGTGAATAGGATTATGGACGTGTAGAATAGGCTCTCTCTACTAGCCATGTTGAGGAAGGGAGAGGATTATCAGGGGAAAAGCGCCAAACAATTGCGAGACAAAGAATTTAACTAAATAAAGAATAGATTGAAGAAATGGGTGAGAGGGGTAGAATTCAAAAGAGGACCTAATATTCACTTTATTTAAAAAAAAAATGGTGGTAAGTGTAGGGGACGGCACTATGATCAACTGATGAACGTATACATCTCACTTATGAACATAAATGAGGTAAACAGAAATTAGAGAAACCAAGAAGTGTTAGCTGTCTTAAACCGCTAGTAATAGTGAGCTGCATCTTTTGAGAGAGAGAGAGAGAGAGAGAGAGAGAGAGAGAGAGAGAGAGAGAGAGAGAGAGAGAGAGAGAGAGAGAGAGAGAGAGAGAGAGAGAGAGAGAGAGAGAGAGAGAGACGGACTCATAGGTAAGCAGTGACATATATGCCAGGTATTATTGCCTGAGGGATGCCATCATGGTCCTCGGAGAGAGCGGAGTGAGGGAGGCAGAGTGGGATGGAAGGAGGATTGGATAAAAATCTAGAGGAAGTGAGGTAAGGAGCGAGAGAGAGAGAGAGAGAGAGAGAGAGAGAGAGAGAGAGAGAGAGAGAGAGAGAGAGAGAGAGAGAGAGAGAGAGAGAGAGAGAGAGAGAGAGAGAGAGAGAGAGGAAAGTGAATAAAGAGAGGAGAGGGAGACAAAGAAGAAGGGAGTGACTATCACAGCATCCCAGGCGGTGTTCTAATGACTGGCTTGATGCAGTAATAAATTAGTGTAGCGCTAGGTTGCTGCTCCTGTTGCTGGTGTCCCCAGACCTGTTGCTGTTGTCTCCAGTCCTGTTGTTGTTGTTCCCAGTCCTGTTGCTGTTGTCTCCAGTCCTGTTGTTGTTCCCAGACCTATTGCTCTTGTCTCCATTCCTGTTCCTGTTGTCTACAGTCCAGTTCCTGTTCTTAGTCCCATTGCTCTTAAGTTTTGGGAAGTGACTTTTGGGGAGTGGTCTTTGAAGAGGTGGTCCCTCTGGGGAGTGGTCCTTGCAGACTCTGTCAGCAATAGTCATCTCAGCAGCGATGCCGCCTTATATGTCAACAAAGTCACATTCGCATCCTGGTTCCTATTGCCTGGCCGGCGATGTCATCCCTCCAATCACGACTTGGAGATAGGATAAGATGGGACGGCAGGATAAATACGTGAGGGCGATAGGGAAGGATGGGATGGATAATATAATGGGAGGATGGCGTGGAAGGATAGGGGCAAACGCAGGAGATGGAAGAAGAGAAGAGAAGGAGAGATAGAGATTAAAGTAGGGATTTTGGTTAAAAGGAGAGGGAAGAGGGAGATGGGTGTGACCTGAACACCCGTGTGGGATTTCTAAAACAGGTGGGACCCCACGACGCGGGTGGGACCCCACAACACGACGGGGACCCCACGACACGGGTGATGGGACACCCTGACAGGGGTGGGACTTCCTTCGTTTTCAGATTTATGGGCCGAGTGTCTAACATAAGAACTTTTTATTTAATCCTTCGCTTATCACAAGTCGTTCAGACTTTGTCAAAAATGCCAATTTGGCTGTAATAAAAAATATTTTAAGAATGAGAATGTAGCAGGTTTACAAGATACAAACAATTAGTCAGCAGAGAGAGCAGGGTTCACTGGTGCTGTATTCTTGACACTAATATGAAGTTTCTGCCACCAAGATTGAACTTACTTGTAGGCATTATATATTCTGTTAAAAAATCATTCTGTTTCATGAAATGTGTCTCTTACGCTGTCTGTCTGTCTGTATGTCTGTCTGTCTGTCTGTCTGTCTGTCTGTCTGTCTGTCTGTCTGTCTGTCTGTCTGTCTGTCTGTCTGTCTGTCTGTCTGTCTGTCTGTCTGTCTGTCTGTCTGTCTGTCTGTCTGTCTGTCTGTCTGTCTGTCTGTCTGTCTGTCTGTCTGTCTGTCTGTCTCTGCCTGTCTGTCTGTCTGTCTGCTGTCTCTCTCTGTCTCTGTCTCTCTCTCTCTCTCTCTCTCTCTCTCTCTCTCTCTCTCTCTCTCTCTCTCTCTCTCTCTCTCTCTCTCTCTCTCTCTCTCTCTCTCTCTCTCTCTCTCTCTCTTTCTCTTCACCTTGGAGACTAACCTTATAGCTAGCTAGTAAGTACCATTGTTTACGAAGTGACTCATTTAGAGAACTGGGTGGTCAGAGACACTACTCAGCGCTACATCAAGGGAATATCAAGGTGGTGCTGCTATCTCTTATATCCGGATCCTCAAATTACTTCCGTTTCCTTAACGTGCCTGTATCTATTTCATGAAGCTGCTTGCGTCTCTCTGGTATAGCTGCCTTCATATCCCTCTTGTGAAGCTGCCTGTATCTCCCTCTTGTGAATCTGCCTGTATCTCCCTCTTGTAAATCTGCCTGTATATCCCTCTTGTGAGGCTGCCTTTATCTCTCATACACAGCTGCCTGGAGCCTGGGTGTGCATGAGTTTTGGATGGATTATTATGCTTTATACATTATTCATTCGTGATTTTGCTAAAATTCGTGATCGGAAAATAATCGTAAAAACAAATTTGCTACATAATGAGAAGGATATTTGTTTATATTCTTGCATTCTTATATTCTCTGCATTTTTTTTATTAAGATCTTGTTTTGGGTTGGGAACTTTGTTTATTATTAATATGGATTGGAATTTTGTTTTCTAAGTTATTACCTGGTGAATCTGTAACATCTGACTTGAATTGTGAAGATTTTCACTAGTTGACTGTTAGCAACTTCTTAGATTGACTAAGATTGAGTGGTTTAGAATGGAGAGGAAAGTCTAAACCACGCCCTTCAGTAGTCACTAAATTATAATTACAAATGAAAATTCTTCGCCAACTCGAAACTCTTTTTGTCTTCATTTTCGTGCCTCTCCCTTCTTCTACTCTTACTCTTCTTCTTCTTTTCATCCTTCTACGTCTCCACTCCCCCCTTTCATCATACCTTTCTTTTATCTACTCTTCCTCAACGTTCACTTCCTTCCCATTCTTCCTCTTCTGCTCTATCTCTATCCCATCACAACATAAATGCCTACATATGCATAGCTCTAATATTAAGCACTCTCACACCCCACCGTCTGATAGGTTCCTCTCAACGCCTCTAGCATATACAAAGAACAACATATGCTACAACAAAATTTGTAAACCATTCCCCCACATCTCTCGCTCTTCATTCCATTTCTCGTTTTTCCGCCATCTTCCCATATTTCTATCTCTGCCTTCCTACCTCTCTCCCACCATCTCATTCCCCATCTAAGTATCGCCTTATCTAGACTTATGATCCAGACCATAATAACTGCTGCACTAATTATGTCCTTATCAAATTCATCGAGGAGCTGAACGGTTCGAACTCCGCGTCCAAACTGCTATGGGCTCAACACCTATCTATAAACAGATCTTTGGTTAACCATAGGGGGCGAGACCGAAGTGTTTAATATGTCAGAGGACCCAACTCCGAGAGTCTGGTAAATAAAAAAAAGTTTGTGGTAGGTTTTGAGGAAGCTTATGGGATAGATAATATAATGGGAGGATGGTATAGGAGGATAGGGGCAAACGCTGGAGATGGTTTGTAGTTGCTGTGTCGGGTTTCGATAAGGAGTTTGGGCTTATTGTTGATAAGTTTTGAGAATGGTAAATGTGCATTTACACAACCCACAGTGGGTACAATTGCTATTGAAATATACTAACAATAAGCTTGAGCAATGGGGCCGTTGTTTTCGGGTTGGGTTTAAGGCTTACCAACTTTATCAAGGTAACCACAATAGCTTACTTGCCAGCCAACAAGTATGCTTTTCTCATGAACATAGTCCAGGATTAAAGTAAACTCTCAGTGTATATACACCGATAAATGGTGTATATACACTTCTGGTTGAATATACTCTCATCCTTAATACTCTTGGGTTAAGACAACATAGACAAACTATTCCACTCAAACGATTCAGTAGTGCCTTAATAAAACACAACACTTATAATTTGAGCATTTGGCTGATGTCAGGTGAAGACAGCTCATTAAAATGCTCCTCGTTAGATTCTGAACAACAATACATTCGCAGATGAGTCTCAGAAGCGCAGCAAGAGCATCAGCACCTGTCACTCTTGACCGTGTTGAGCATGCATTGACCCAGTATTGAGACAATGTAGAGTATAGCTCAAGTATACTCCAACAGCCAAGGCTAGATCGGTCTGCCAGATCCTTCCTGTGCTCACAGGTAGGACTTTGTACCAGATCACCAGGAGAGATATTCGGATAAACATCGCTGAAATAAACACACACAACGACAGTAGATTAGACATCAGTGAAGCAAGACACACACACACACGCAACACACACACAGACGCAAAAACTCGGGCAACTATCAAGGCGCCATTTATTGGTCCATGCGACATTTCACTTCACCTCACTCTCAGTTGTGTGTTTGGTTGTACCAGCAAGATTGTGTTCACCTCTACTCTGCCTCTGAAAATGTTGACAGTGTCAGCGAAAAGCATCTCTCAGCGTCGGACCGTAATTAAACTGTTAGAGGTACTTTGGAGAGTGAATTTCTCTATTTCATTCTCAAATGAAGAACATAAGAATTATAGAGAAGACTCGTTTCTTGTTGTCTATATGTCAACAAGAAAGACTGCTACCAAGATATAATAATATATCTTATTAGCGGACCAGAGCGCTCCCAGTCCGCTCCGGGTCCGTTCCTGGCCCACTGTGGGTCCGCTCCGGCCCGCTCTCGGCCCGTTCTCGGCCCGCGTATATGCCAACAGTGATGGTGCGATGTGGCACGGGTGTTCGCCAGGGCGTGTCCTCTTATTAACAGGTTAATTACTATGGGGGAGATAGTGTCAACACTCCCAGTCAAACTCCCACATAATTGCTTCAAACGTGCTCTTATCTACAAATGGCCAGACTGCGATTAACAAGTTAAAACTATTTTGTCCTGTGCTTATAATGTATAAAGTCCGATGCTTATAATTTATATTAAGGCCAATGCTAATAATTTATATTAAGTCCTGTGCTAATAATCCATATCAAGTCCGGTGCTCATAATAATATATAAGCAAAGCATTTAAAAATCATTTTATTACATTTAAGTATTTAAAAAGATATTACAAGTAAAATTATATTTAATGAGTGCTTTACTAATATTTTGATCAGAGTAATGAGCTAATAATTTTATAGAAACAGTGAGCTTATGAAATGTTATTTGTATTGCTCAAATATTTAATAAAAGAGTTGTTAGGGTTTTATTGAGGATTTGTTTGACTTTGTTACTTAGCTGATAACATTATTTGTTCAACATGTCTCTTAGATGTTTCTACTGCTCGGCTTAAACTCGGTAAATAAGTAGACTTGAACAAATGTAAACTGTGTCAGCAAAACTATTCAGCCATTTTCCTCAACTTTGTGATAACGTGCGATAAGATATGTGAACTTAGAGATAACTCTATAACAAATGTTCAAGGAATAAGTAATTATTTAATTCAGAGTGATCTACTACCAGAAAGTTAAGTAAAATATCCCCACATTGAAAACTGTAAGTAGTAAATGTGGGTGATTATAGCTTTTCCAGCACTTACTGGATAGGAAGGGGTTGGGGAGGGAAAGGGACGGTGTGAGAAAATAGGCTTCTTCTTGAGGTTATCTTGAGATGATTTCGGGGCTTTTTAGTGTCCCCGCGGCCCGGTCCTCGACTAGGCTTCCACCCCCAGGAAGCAGCCCGTGACAGCTGACTAACACCCAGGTACCTATTTTACCGCTAGGTAACACGGGCATAGGGTGAAAGAAACTCTGCCCATTGTTTCTCGCCGGCGCCCGGGATCGAACCCGGGACCACAGGATCACAAGCCCAGCGTGCTGTCCGCTCGGCTAACCAGCGCCCTCAAATCAAGGCAAATCTATTATGAAACTAGCTCACCGTATATGTAAGCTACTTAGCCTAGAGACTGTACTTGTGGTCGTTCTCGAACCCATTGTTGATATAATACAAATACACATTAAATCCTGTAACCAGCTAATGAGGACTGTAACTTGCTTAGCTAAATGATATTTGGGGTGGAGTCCCTGGACCCGTTATGTGCCTCTGTAACCTCTTCCAATGTCGCTCTCAGGATGGGTATGGGGGTATATAATTATAATAAATTAACTTAGCCAAACTTAACACATGTTAAGTCCCGTTAGAGTTGGAGCATTTACCTTACATAACTGAACCTTACCTCAGTTACCCAACCCTAACCCTAACTTAACCTAACCTAACCTAACCTAACCTAACCTAACCTAACCTAACCTAACCTTACCTTACATAACTGAACCTTACCTCAGTTACCCAAACCTAACCCTAACTTAACCTAACCTAACCTAACCTAGCCTAACCTAACATAACCTTACGTAATCCAGTCTAATCTAATCTAACCTTATCTAACCGAGCTTAATATTTCCTAACCTAACCTTACCTTACTTAACCTAACCTAACCTAGTTCAACATAACCTAATCTAACGTAGCTTAACCTAACCTAACCTAACCTAACCACACCAAACACATCCTAACCTAACCTTTGTCATTTATGTATCATAAAATCTGAAGGTATAGATTTTCAAGCACACACTCTTTCCGAAACTCATTTCAACGAAACCGTAACTTTGGATTCAATCCCCGGGGAATGACGGAAACAGTTTGGCACATTTTCTTTCACCTTATGCCACTG